TACAGCTAGTTCAGTGTACCCAGTCTCCATGTGTCTCACAGGTGCCATGTCTCATTTGTTAGTTTGTAGAGGGAAATATAGCTGAGAGTCTAGTTTCATAGTTTCTCGGGGTATCAATGTCAGATTTAAGCTGAGATATGGAGGGTGCTATAGTCGTTCTCCATTGTTTTGCTACAAGCTTTTGGGCAGATATAATATGGAGTATAAGTTTCCTTATGTTCTTGGGGTCTGTTTTTTGGAGCTTCAGAAGAAGATACGTAAGGGCTGTGAAGTTTAAGGAGCAGCCCATGATACCCTTGATACACCCATATTGTGTACCTTGCCCCAGAAGGGTGCCAATGAAGAGCATTCCTACCACACATGTAGCATAGAGCCTTCGGCCCTCTGGCATCTCCAGCAAGTTGCAGGTGTGTTGGGGAAAACAGCATGTACCCTAGTCGGTACCAGGTACCAGCTATACAGCACCATTTTCTGCTCTAAATGTACCGAAGATTTGATTATGCCTATCAGGCCATTAATTATGGAATACCACAGTTTAGAAGTGATAGAGCAACCAAGGTCGCTCCCCAATTGTATGGCGGTTGTGGATTCTGAAAAAGTCATATGGTCTGACATCAGTCTGTAGCACATGGAGATTGGTTTACATTGTTTAGGTCAAACACCCTTGATACACATCTGTTCCTAGTCTGTAGCTATATTTGGCAATTTAGATCTAGGTAAAATTAAGTGGATACTTCGAAGGAATTACCGAAGCTGTATATAGGAGTACGCTGAGGTGGTGGGTAGCGCCGATTTGTTGGATAAGGATTGTAACTCCATTAGAGAGTTCTGATGGAACAACTGATATAAATGAGTCATTGCAGCGGGACCTGGGTAAACTGGCTGGTTATCCCCTTTGGTTAGAGTAGGTCAGACCCATTTCCCCAGTAACAGGACAGGACACAGTTCCAGGATACAACGTATGACAATGTTTATTGGGCACACAGCTTTTTATGCACAGAACCAACACCACACAAAACACATACAGGAAGGGACTGGGGGACAGATAACCATCTCCCGCTCTGGGAGATACTAACAGGACACAGGGACACGCATGAGTGCACTTCACAGACAGGGGGGGTGAACTTTGGGGCTCGGCGCCCCGGGACAGGGAGGGGGTACAGAGTTATATATGATATGAGGAAATAGCCCCGGGTCCCATCTGGGATCCCTGCAAAAAGTGCCCAGGGACGGAAGGGGTTTCGCTGCCCAATCAGATGCAAGGGCGCAAAACCCCGTTTGAATAAGCGCTCCTCCTCGGATTGGTCGCTTGCTCCCTGTGGCGACCAATCAGCTCTTTATTTGTGCCGGCCAACCAGGAGAGTGGCGCAAACCCAGTTTGAATGGATGCTCCCTCTCCCATTGGTCGGCACAGACTTCCATGTGGCCAGCGGAAGCCCTATGGTCATGAGACCGACTCACAACCCCAGAGACTCTCTGGGCTGGCACACGTCCCTCTCCTGGGCAGCCATTAGTATAACCTCGTAGCTCCCAGCTAAGGAACCAGGATGAGGGGTTACGGGTAGGACAAGTAGTTATTATAGCTCCGTTGGGAGCCGGTAGACAGTGTACATAGGCCGTTCGGGAGATGAATGCCCCCCCGGTGGGCATTCGGTAATACGAACCAGCGGCCACACAGGGGCAGCATGCGCTACTCGTTCCCCTGCGGTCTGCGGTTTTTACACCTCGTTATTGAGGTGTGAATGTTCTAATTGGAGTATCAAGGTGGTCTGGCACCGTTCGGGAGATGAATGCTCCCCATGGTGGGCATTCGATAATACAAACCAGGCGGCCACCCAAGGGAAGCATGCACCACTCGTCCCCCCGTCTAGTCATCATGGATTAGCCTGGGAAGCAATGGGTCGATTCTGTTTGCCAGTATCTTGGTGTAGATCTTGGGGGTCTGTGTTCAACAGTGACATTTTTTGCATAGGTCAGGGGACTTGTCTGGTCACCATAGTAGCCAACAGCATATAGGGGGCAGGGATCCTGTAATCATAGCTTCATTGTATACTGTAAGTAGGTGTGGGGCCCATATATCCTTAAATCATTTACAGAAAAACCGTCTGCCCCGTGTTTTACCAAGCAGTAGTTGTTGTATTATGGCCTCAATTTCTGAGAGGGCCACAGGTCCCATTAGGGTAGTAATTTGGTTAATCGGGGAAAGTGTGCAGAACGGAGAAAGGACTCTATGTCCTGTTCGTCCAGATTGTCTGAGCATAGGTTATATAGTTTGGAGTAAAACCGGGCAATCTCCTGATTAATATCCTGTGGACTGCTCTTCTGCTTGTCCTTGCCTGTGCTGTGACTTGGAGCCCAGGTGGCTTTTTCCTGGTCTGTGTTTATTTGCAAGGGTGAGTGTATAACTCTGCACATCGGCTCCACACCAGTTAAGATCCTGACATAAATGAACTGACCACATGGGGTCCGCAGAGATATACAAGTTACTCACCTCCCTTGCTCAGCAAGTGTCCAACCTGTCCCATACTGTTATGGACTTGCAGAGAGATTCACTGGCATTTAAAGGAACGGTATGCCCATTCCTGGAACCTGCATATCCAGAACCCTATGTGATAATGCCGGACAGGTTTGACGGTTCCTGTTCCTCATTCACAATTTTCAAGATGGATTGTTTGCTCCTATTTGCTTTAAAACCAAGAACCTACGCCACCAACTTTGTCAAATTCCGCACCGCTGTTAATCTGCTTTACAGACGGATGAAAGCATACCAGAAACTGCAGGGAAAAAGTGCTGTCTTGGACAACTGGGAGTCGTTCATGACTGTGATAGACTCACAGTACTTTACTCCAGGAAAGCTACTCCCAAGCCTGCTCCAAGGTTCCCGCGGATCTCGAGTACCTAGTCATATATGACTACAACGACCCTATACTGCTACAGTGCAAACCTACCTTCAGTGACCTGCCTGGTCACCCGGACGTTACCCCAGTACGCCTTAATACTCCAGAGGACAAGGAGGAGATAAGGAGATTGGCTTCATCCATACTAGATTGTTGTCTAAAGAGAGATACCGAAGGAGAGGATGTGGTCTTTGTTTCTACTGTGGAGAAAGAGGGTACTTTATCTCCAACTGCCCTACTCGCCCACATTGGCCCAAAGCTCTTCAAGTAGGTACTGTTCTTACCCACCCTGCCATTCCTACTACAGAGTCTGTTAAATGTCAAGGAAGCTGTCAGACCTATCCACATTCCGTGAAGCAAAAGTGTACCCAAACCATGGCAAGCAACCTTACCGGCGCCTCTCAAGGACACGCAACCGGTGCCCCTGAGAAATCTCCACCTCTTGCTCCAGAGGAGTCTTTGCTACCACCTGACAAAGCAAGGTCACACCTGAATCACAGAAAAACAGAAAGTAGGAATCAAAGGCGACTGTAGGTGCGGTGTTTTCCCAGGATTTCGAAGAAGACTGTACACATGGCATGGATGCCTATGGAAAAATGTCTCTTACAAAACATCTTTGACATCTCTGATGAAGATACTTTGGTTATTGCCAGTAACTGTCAGGATCCTATCCTGACAAGCAAGACTTTTTTTTCCATTGATACTGTTTCTTAAAAAAAAGAAGTTCCTGCATGGATTCCGATTCACCACTAGTGGCCTCCCTTGCCTCTAGTTCTGGACCCTTACCTTATCATTCTCACCTGCCTGGACTAATTGGGTTCCTACAAAAGGTAATGCCCCAACTCACCTAATTGCCTTTTCATTGAAGTTGTTGATCTGCCTGAAACACTTCATATCCTGGCTCCTGTGAACTTATCCTATTATACCAATCTGAACTACTCTGCATTCCTGTTTGTCTTCTAACCTGCAAAATACCAACCTGAACTTAACTCTCCAGCTTTATCCAACCATCCTGATATTTACCTACTCAGATCCAAACAACCTCTCTGCTCTATACCTGCCTCATAACACCACCTCTTCATGTCAATAACACACCTCTTCATGTTAATCGACTAACACACACTTTGACAGACACACTCTTAGATACACAGACATACACACTGATTTAACACAAACAATCACTGGCTCACTGACATAAACACACAATGTCGCAAACACACACACACTGACAGGCATACACAATCACTCAGACACACACACACACACACATTCACTGACAGACACTTACTCACAGAAACACACTGACAGAGACACACACACTCTCACTCACTGACTGACAGCCACACAGTGACACAGTGACAGACACACAGACAATCACTCAGATACACACGATTAAGCATACACACAATCACTCACATACACACTGACAGATATACACACACAAACTGACAGCCAGACACACACAATCACTCAGACATCCACTGACAGACTACCAACCCCACCCCAAACATTAACCAATTACTTTTTCTATTTTATTTTAAATCCACCCAGCCTCCCTACCTTTGGAAGAGCTGGGTGGATTTTTTTCTTACCTGGCGTCTAGTGGGTCTTCTTGCAGAGAGGGAGGCAGGCATGCAGGCACTTTGGCAGCTAATGAGGGAGGGCAAGGGAGCACTGATTTGTGAGCTGTCTCTGTCTCTGATTTGTGAGCTGTCTCTGCTCATGATGTCATATTCCGGCTCCTGGCATCACTCTGCGCCCGCCTGGATTTTTAGTTAGCCGCCGACAGGCTAACAAGGTATTTGCCTGGGCAAAAATGCCGCCCCCTGGAAAGTGCCATCCAAGGCAAATGCCTTGTTTGCTTTGCGGGAAATACATCCCTGGTACCATCCCTACTCCCTGCCAGCTCACGGAAGACCTGCCTTTGGATTGTACATATGCTTTAAATGGCACAGTAGTATGTCAAAAAGATCTTGATGTTCGAAAGAGCATTGCTAGCTGCGAACACCTCCCTTATGAGTACCGCTCAAGTTAATGTCTCATCCGAGTCAGGGTGATGATTTATGATTGAGTCCATTCTGGCGTCAGCTTGGGTATTTTGGCTCAGTCCTGCTTCTGCGGTTTCGGCGTCGGGATACCCCATTCCTGCAGTTTTCGGGTTCCATCTTCCACCGAAGTAATCAGGTAAATGATCCCTTGACTAGGAACTTGGCTGGATCTGTACTGTACGTCTTGAGGTCGCAGTGACGCTGTTACTGGAGCCAGGGTTTTTTTTTTATACTGCAACATGGCCGCTGAGAGATCCGTGAAAATCTTCAGCTGTTTGTAGGGGTCAGACAGATCTCCAGATCAGCCAACTTCATAGCCTGGGAGTATAAAATCTTGTCATATTCTATCTGCCACTGTATTGTGAGCCACTGCGTAGGCGTCCAGTTTCTGATCCATGTGGTCAGTCCTGTGCCCCATTGCCTGTACCTCCTTTGTCAGTGCTTGTATCTGGGTGTTTATGGAGGATTGCAGGGACACAGATAATTCCCCCATCATAGCCCACATTGTTGTGGCCATAAAGGGTCCATCCTCTGAGACACAGGTAGGGGAGGGAGAATCCTCCCTGGAAACAGATTGGTGCCATCTTGCATGGGGCAGAGGCCCTCTCTGGCTTTCAGCGCGGTAGCACGGGCCAGGAAAAACAAATCCCGATCAGCTTTGCTGGCTTTAGCCTTTAGTCTCTGTAACATGGACAGAGTGGAGGTGCTTTTTTGTTGGCTGTACCTCGATTATTTGTGGCTTCCCGGTGCTCGATCCACAGAGCCTCAGCAATGTGCGAGCATCCAGATCAAGCGGTTGGCTTAATTTCTATGTGTCTTGGCTAGGCAGGATAAATGCAGTACCAAAAATATGAGAACCATTCCATTACGAGTCCCTAAAAATATTAAGGGCTTTCATAACCTTTTTTTATTTGTATGGGAACAAACAAGGCCAGAATATAAGTGGCTTATTTAACTAGAAATTTAACTGATGGGGGAAGATGGTCTTTCACAGACATTTATCAAATGTATGTTTATCAAATACATGACTCAAATATGCTCTCGCTTCTGCCGGCATGGAAACATGCAAGCTTAGAAAATAAAGTGGGGTTTTCTCATGAAAAACAAACCTGTAATAATAAAGCTCCAATTTTATTATATTGTGTTGATATCCTGACTTTTAAGAAGATGGAATCAACAATAGAATTGTAGAGGATATTTTCTATAATGTGAGATTATTAAGAAAGAAACTTGTTGGACAGCTTTCTCCAAGATCTGCTATAGAGATCTCGAATCTATATGTTGACAATATGAATATGAAAAATGGAAAGAAGCGGAGTTAAATAACATTGCAATCTTTTATTCACGGATCTCACACTAAAAACTTTCTGCCAGTTAAATGAAAGTAATAGTGGATTAGAGAAAGAACACTTTTCTTATCTTAGAATTTCTTTAAAACAAAGCCAGTAATGAAAGATTTTCCCATAGATTCCTAGTTTAAAATAGATAGCTGTCAAAAAGGGATTTCTAAAATTAACAAAACTCTATAAAAACAGAAACAGTGTAAAGTTAAAGGACCACTATAGACACCCAAACCACTTCAGCTCAATGAAGTGGTCTGGGTGCCAGGTCCATCTAGGGTTAACCCTGCAGCTGTAAACATAGCAGTTTCAGAGAAACAGAGAAACTGCTATGTTTACATTAGGGTTAATCCAGCCTCTAGTGGCTTTCTTGCTGACAGCTGCTAGAGGCGCTTCCGCCCTTCTCACTGTTATTTTCACAGTGAGAAGACGCTGCCATCCATAGGAAAGCATTGAGAAATGCTTCCCTATGGACTGATTGAATGCGTGCGTGGCTCTTGCCGGCTCTTCGGCGGATGACGTTGGAAGAGGGAGGAGAGTCCCCAGCGCCGAGGGAGCCTGGCGCTGGAGAAAGGTAAGAGTTTAACCCCTTAACCCCTCTTGAGCCCGACGGGAGTGGGACCATGAGTGTGGGGGGGACCTAATAACACTAAAGTGGTCCTTTAAGATTAATGATCATATGGGAGGAGGAGCTGAGCATTTCTCAATGGAGGAATAGTTGGATTAATTTACCTTATTAAGTAAAGCTATTCATTGTATAACTACAGATGAAATTCAGCTGAAATTTGTACACAGATGGTATCTGGTTCTGGCCAGAATTACCAAAATGTATCTCCCTACCACTAATATTTGTTGGAGATGCAAACTAGAGACTGGTTCTCAGAAACCTATTTAGCGGGATTGCTGTAAACTCATTTGAAGAATAGAATATTTTTTTAGTGAGATCCTCCAATAGCCTCAGCTATTCCTATTTCATATAGATTTTCCTACAAAAAAATTAAAAACTGCTGATCATAAATATTTTGATGGCTATTAAGATTTGCCTTGCGAGATACTAGAATATCTATATATTTTCCATAATGCAAGAGATGAAAATGCAAATAAGTAACCAACATAAAATGGAAATGACTATATATAGAAATGTAATAAGGACTGACATAAGGAAATTTAGGAACCCTGGACATTGACACTAAACACATTTGTTTCCCCTCAATTTTACCATTTTTATTGAGTCAAAGGCAATTTGGGAGTACAGAAAAATGAGAAAGAAGGGAGTTCACAATAATATTGGTGGGTGAACCGAGCCTAAATACAAAATTTTAACAGGAATGATAACTTAGACACACAGTAGCCTGAAGAAAAGAATTGAGTATTAGATATTATCTATATCCTTCCCTTGCACATGACGACTTTAAAATGTTGCTCACATCTTATATTTTTAGTTTGTGTGAATCTCATTTTTTTCCAACCTCCCAAAAAATAAATAAAATAGATTTATAAGCCTCAATTTGTATAATAACTGAAGGATAATGATAGTACTTTAAAAGTACTGCAAGTGCACTTTGTGGGTACATATGCACTCACATCAAGCAATAATGTGTCAATGTGAATGATATGTATTTTTTTTTCTTCTTATGATGAAGTAAATGCAATAAAGAATGAAATGTTGTAAAAAAGCTTGGAGCCATTAGGACAAACATATGGTAAAATATAAAAGAAAAATTATTGCCAACACATGAATAAACAAGGCACAAATAGTGTTAAAAAGACTTGGAGCCAGTGACAAAACCTCAGCTGGCAAGACCAACTGCACAACACTAGTTAAGAAGTTCAAGTTTCTGGATGATTCACAAACATGGTATCCTAATCTGGGATAAGAATGTCAGCTGGGTCCAGTACTTTTGCAAAAAGACCAGAACATCAGCCGACACTGAATGGAAGGGTATTCTGCTGATGCACCACTGATAATGAGAACAGACAACCTCTACGAAAACAAATGTTCTTGGAGCAGAGAATGTCTGTAAAGGGGTTCTAGAATCCTGCAGGCTTTGAGAGGCGTCCAAGTTAGAGATGAGATTCTACTTTGGTAATTGCTAAAATGTCTATCATCCTAGCTGCTTAAAGACGCCCTCATTGTCACTGTGACGAGACCAATCTCGCCACATTGCATTGGAGAAGCCTGGTTGCTCGCCTGCTGCCTTTGGACTATGGCCCCCCTTTTAAAAGACTTTATTTTTGCCTGCAGAAAAGCTTCATTCGTACTTTTCTGCCTGGGGTTTGGTAGATTTGTTTGAATGTGTTACACCCCAGATAGGAATCCCATGGAGCCCATTCGTATGAAACTGACTGTAAAGACTTTGGCTCCATGGCGATTAAACTGTATTCGTGTGGTCTGAGCGCCATTAACTTAATAATGTGCGCTCAGAACTGAGCTATCTGGGGATATGTGAAATGTCTGTGTTTTATGTATAAATGTGACTTTATGTATTTTAAAGTGTTTTGTGTCTTTTTGCAACCATGTGCTTAATGGAGTCTTGTGTCTGTCCTGGGAGATAATTGAATTACTTCTCCAGGATAGAAGACTCTGAAACTGGTTTGGGCCAGAAAGCCATGCTTCATTTAGTCACAAAGGACTTTTACTAACTTTTGAACCCCTTGTCTGATTTGTGCCATTTTTGAATATGTTGTTCCCCTGAATGGATTGATTGTGAATATGTAATTTTATGTGAATGTGATGTATGGTTTTAGAGTTATGAAAGTTGGGTAGAAAGTATGTTTTAACTGTATGTATAATTGAGTTTCCTCTCAGGATAAGGGGAGGGAATATGTGGGATGTAACTGTGATGTGATTGGTTGTTTTATACCTCCCTGTGGGCGGTCCTGTATTTGCAAGACTGTAATAAAAACCAGGCTGGGTGTGCCAGCACCTCAGACCACTGCTTGACCCTCAACACGGAGCCTTGTCTCGTTCTTGGGGGGATTCACTGTATGCTGTTAGAGACTGATTGCCAGGAGTGTAAGCTGTTGTCTGCTTTTCCTGTTCGTCTGCTAGCAGCTATTTGGGAGGTTCCAGTTCGGGAGTTGGAGTGCTATTTTGTATCCAGTTCGGGAGTTTGGTGTTCTGCAGTAGCTGTGCCTGATCTCTGGAAAGGGGGCCGATCGCCTAAACGGTTTTTACCCCTTGTGTGCAAAACGGTCCGTTACAATTGGTGGCAAGCGGCGGGATCGTTCCTACAGACAGAAGGACAGCTACAGGAGACACCATTTCTTTGGATTTACAAGTTAAGGGCAACGCATGTCCCAGTACAGCGACCCTGACAGCACCAGGATGGAACCAGCAGTGGCGTACAGATACTCTATGAGAGAGTATGACCGTATGATGTGGTTGCGGCTGAACTTCTTTGGACCCAATCCAGCTGAGAAATACGTGCAGTCCATGAGAAACCTAGTGTTCATGAATCTGCAACACCGGGCAGAAAGAGAAGGTCAGCTGGCACGTTGGGAGGAACTCCAGCGACAGGTACTGCAGGGAATTGGGAGCCCAGTCTCCATTCCCCAGCGGCAGTGTGATATGCAGGGAATTGGGAGCCCAGTCTCCATTCCCCAGCGGCAGTGTGATATGCAGGGAATTGGGAGCCCAGTCTCCATTCCCCAGCGGCAGTGTGATATGCCGGGAATTGGGAGCCCAGTCTCCATTCCCCAGCGGCAGTGTAAAGTGCAGGGAGAGGAGAGCAGCGTCCTCCCTCCCCAGCGGCAGGCTGAGTTACAGGGGGCAGAGGTAGTTGTTCCTGCCCCCCAGCAGCAGAGTGATATGCCGGGAAGGCAGTGTGAAGTGCAGGGAGAGGAGAGTAGTGTCCTCCCTCCCCAGCGGCAGGCTGAGTTACAGGGGGCAGAGGTAGTT